CAGCCAACATCAGTCAGTGTGAGTTTTCATCTGTTAGACTAAACCAAAAAAAGAAGAATCAGGGTTTAAAGACTAAAGGTACCTGCTTGAGATGGTCTACAGTGAGTGGTAGGTGCTGTAGGGTCAGTAGTATTTGCTGGAGGAGGGGAATGTTGTTGGTTGTCTTTGAATACGTCAGCCAATTGTTAAGAAGTTTGTAGCCACCAACGTCAATAAACCTGCAGGCAGGCAGGAGAGTCTATCAGTAACGCCCTTTCTAGGTTTTGAAAGTACCACATCCCATGATCCCAGTCTCCCATCAATGACCCTGGAACCCCATGCCTCACCACCCCATCTTTTAGCTACATCTTCCCATTCCAACCATCCAGATCCCCACTTACTTGATCAGTATTTCTGGTGAACGGGTCTGCAGGAGAATGTTCAAGTAAGTGCATCGACTCACCATCTTTCGTGCTTCCTTCATCAAACTGCAGGATATGAGTGAGGGTTAGAAATGAAGCAGCCAGTATCTCTTCTCTTAGCAAAAGCGCCTCTCTAATCTGTGAACTGCCTAGAGATTCCTGATGATTTGGGACTTTGCTTCAGAGAGGGGGAGTCACATATACCTCTAGGAGGATGGGATGGATCCAGTGCAACATGGAAACTTATGGGAGAACAGAGACACCGAAGTCCCTGACCTGGGGAGGAGAGCATCACTGCCTCCCTAACACACAGGATGAATGTCATTCTGCCCCCAGGTGATATGGCTAGCCCTCAACAACTGTCCCTAATAGTCTGTTCAAGACTGGCTTATTTACTCTCCCCTGAACCTGAGAATCCCTGAAAGAAAATAACATTATAGGTAGGTGGAACATGAACCTAAACAATCTAGAATTCTGTTACCAGGCTACCCTGCTCTCATTCCAACATATGACTCCCTTGGGACTGTGGACGTCCAAATCTCCAGCTTCCACTATGGTCAGAAACCAAGTGATCATCTTTTCCTATCCCTTACCCTAAAATTGTTAGATTTTAATCCTACTGTACTGTCTTTCCCTTTCCTTTCCAGGATCATTCCAGTCTGCCTCAACTGCAGCCATATTTTAACACACAATATTCTCTACTCACAATGAATCCAAAAAAGGGTAAAGACTCACCTGAAGATCTTGGAAATCCCATCCACACTTTTGACTTCCCCATCTCGGTTAAGGAAGCTGTCCAGGCCCTTGAGAAGTTCTTTGGGGTCTATGGGACCAGAACCCATGATGGTGGTTTCTATGGTAAGAGGACAAAACAAACAAACCCACAGAATAAATGGGTGGCAAGGACTACCCGAGTAGGCCCTCTAATAAACCACATCTCTACATCTGACAAAGTATAGTGACTATTCAACTATGCTATTTTTTAGATATGAAAAATCAACACAGACCACTTGCCACTACCGAGAAAATAGCCCTAGCAAGTTAAACATGGGGAGCATATGTGACTGAACAGGAAAGCAATTCGATTGGAGGACTAGAGCAGCACACCTGTCCCTCCCTCCCAGCAGCATCCTTCCTAGGATGGCTGAACTTCACTAGATCATACTAGAGCTAAGATTCAGTTCTCATAACAAGATGTTCAACTCTCCAGGGCATTTGTACCTATTGTTAAGTCCTGTCTTCCCTAGTTGCTGAAAAATTTGGCTTGAAAAACAGCCTATAGCTTGACAGAAATTGGGCCAAATCTTGGGTGTTTGAGCTAAATGTCTTGTAAGAGTTGATTCCTTTTTATCTTAGCCCATTAAGAGTCATAATCACAACATAAGGCAAGATATCTATCAGCTGAAGTGGTAGATGATAGAGAACAAAACAAAACTTGAACAGAATCCTTCCCTAAGGAGATCTGGAGGTAGGTGCCAGATATTGAGACAAATGGATGCAAGGAAATCAAGCAGGTTCTCCTAGGCCTTGAATAGACTGTCACTCATTAACCAAACACTGCACAAGTTTTTACTGTCTCCATGTTAAACGGAAGCTAGTGGTTTGTGCTTTCAAAAGCAAAGATGTAAATCTGGTCGTCTCCTCAAAAATCACGCTGTGGATCCCCTAGGAAAGCCTAAAACTGAAAACCATGGAAACTAAAGAATGGAATAGATAAAGTCAAATGCTAGAAAAATTCCCTTTTAAGCAGCTGTTTTAGACCAGGTTGGAAAAAGAATTAGTTAAAAGCTAAGCTCCTTTTATGGGACAGGGCAGAACTGAAGTTCCAGAAAGGTAATTTACAATCAATATTGTTCTGATTGGGATTTGTATCTACATTGCCTCTAAATACTTGCTTCTAAGAACCAAAAAAGAGGCCAGGTGCTGTGGTTCATGCCTGTAATCCCAGCACTTTGGGAGGCCAAGGTGGGCAGATTCCTTGAGCATAAGAGTTTGAAACCAGCCTCAGCAATATGGCGAAACCTCATCTCTACAAAACATAAGCTGAGTATGATGGTGTGCACCTGTAGTCCCAGCTACCCAGGAGGCTGAGGTGGGAAAATGGGAGGACTGCTTGAGCCCAGGGACATTGAGGCTACAATGAGCTGTGATTGTGCCACTGCACTCCAGCCTGAGCGACAGAGTAAGACCCTGTCTCAAAAACAAACAAACAAACAAAAAACCACCAAAAAAGAAAGCCATTTCAGCAATATCTGCCTTTGGGCAATAAGGCCAACACTGGGTAGCAAGGAAGAGGCAAGAACAAAACCTTCCTCATCCTACATCTAGCACAGAGGTAACAGACACAATCCCAGCAGAAGGGTAGAAAAATCAGTATTTTACAAAGATGAGTATTTTTGTGCCGGAAAAAACAAAGGTTTCTTGTAAGATAATGCAAATTAATTCTATTTGTTCTCAAACAAAAGAAAAAACAAAAGCATAACAATCTCAGCCTTTTAGTCCTCCCAACAAAAAGGTCAATAAATTTCCAAATGTGGAGGTCCTAACAACCTAGGCGAGCAGCAGCAGAAGCAGGGAGGAGGCAGCCAGGAAGGGAAGAAGTATAATCTTGGCTCTGGAGATCATAACCTGTGGGCTGAACAAAGGGAGAGATGAGGCAAGAAATGTTGAGAAGTCACTGCTGCCCTGGAACTTCTACAAGTACAAGTGGAACCTGAGGTCAGAGAAAAAACATTCAAGGAGAATACTGGAAAAGATTAGACGTTCGTGGGCCAAATCCACTCAAGTATGGTGATTCTTACACAGACACAGAAATAAAGGTATTCTTCCCATGTAGTGAGATAATATAAAGTGATCTATAGAAACTATAAAGAGATATGATAAAGGGACATATAAAACAGATATCACATCTGTTGGAGACTGGAAAAGCAATGTATGGGTTCCAATAATAACATATCATAAGCAATCAAGAGACTAAGAAATTTTTAAAACTCTAAATATACACACACATACCTACCATTAGATTCCCAAAGCAAAATATATGCAACTTGACAAAAGGCCTTGAATTAAACATCATTTCAAACCAGTTCCCCTTGACTTGACTGGTTCAAACCCAGGGCTGAATATATATAACCCTGGAGAATTCCCTTTGGCATATCCAACTGCAAGCTAAGCCAATAAATAGACCAGCTACCTCTATTTCCTTCAGACACTAAATAAACTGTCATCTGAGCTCAAGTGTTCCTTCAGAGGATGGGAGACAAGACACAAGAGCCAGTCTTAGAAAAATGGACCAATGAGTACAAAGCTAAATTCTGTCCAGAGCCCTCTGCTGGGAATGGGATCCAAGGACTTTTTTATTCCCATTTGTATAAACAAGAATAAAAAACATTAATAGTCAAAGGGAAGCTAAGAGACAAAGCAAAATTAGTGTTAAACATTCATTTTCCACTACTTATATTTTGGAAATATAAGTGAAATTTTGTCTCATTAGCACCAATCTTGATAAAATATAAGTGGGTTTTTCTCATGATGGCCTTCCTTTAGGCAGATTCATTCTTATTTAAAATTAAGGACCCCAAGTGTCTTATAACCTAGTTTCCTTACTTGGAAGTCAGTATATTTTGGGAAAAAACCAAACAAGTTCCAAGGCACTGAAGTGGGAAGGAATGTAAAGTCCAACATTCCGGGCACAGGGCTACAGCTGAGAAGGCAAACTGAGTTGATGAAGGAAGGCAGGGGCTGTGACTAAGTGTTGTAACATTACCTACTCAGGATCTGGAGTCTAGAATGAAAGCTTGAGAAAGCTTTCTGGAACCACGAATAATCCAGGGCATGATTATGTCTTTTTTTAATGAGCTGCTATTTCCTTGACTGCAGAACATACAGAAGGTGGGGAGTGAGGGAGCAACCCCCTGGCCTACGTCCACCTCATCCTAAGCTATGCTTTCCTTATGGAGATGTTTCAGGCAGAGCCATACTCTACTGGCACAAGGCACTGGGGAATTTTCTACCACTTTTACCAGAGATAAACGTCTGTGACACCAACTCCTGCCTTCAAAATGAATTTTACTTGAGGGCTATTCAATTAAATAGGGTGAAAAAATATCCAGCATAGCTAAAGTTATTCCACATCCATTACCAATGAACAGGACTGAATTGGTTCAGGATAAAAATTCTGTGCAAGTCAGAGTTCTTTAAAAAATAACTGTCTTCTAACAAAAGGAGAAAAAACTCCCAAATTTACCTTAATTTAGAGGCACTTCTGGAAATGAAAATGATTTGTACCTAACTCATGTTCCCCTTCCTTTCTTCAGTGTTTTAGGCATTTCCTAGTTTGACTCAATAGTGGACTGAATTATGTCTCTCAGGTGATTTATCACAAGGTCATAGCTTGCTTCCAAGTAGTAAGCCCCTACCCCTCAAAGTCATTTTGCAAACCTGATACATGAGCTCCTCAAAAGCTTATCTGCCTTTCAATAAAGATGCAAAATGATACACCACCCCAACTCATAGAAAAAGACCCCAGACTGGAACTCTGGCCACAAACTACAAGGATCAGCTTTTCCAAGATTCTCTGAATGGATGTGGTTCCCCTAGTAGACCTTGCTTCCCATCTCCTATGTTAAGGAAGATCTTCTTTATTAATCCCCTGGCTCACTAGATATCAGGAACCCCAGTGGGTAGAATGTTCAGCTCCCAAGGAAGATATGCTGCAGAGGCACATGGCAAACTGCTTAAAAGAAAAAAAAAACAACAAAACAAAACAAAAAAAACTTGTGGTCAATAGACATGTGGAAGAGTCCCTCCCATCCAATCCAGAAGTTTAAGTAATAATTTGAGAATCTGTACCCAGTAGAAAATTAGCCCTAAGTCTCACCCACGTCACCACAGGGCAGTTGTGCTTTCCAATTCTGCCTAGAACCTCCACGCTTCAGTGCAGGACTTTTAAAAATTAAAATTATATGGAGAGTCTGATAAAGATTTGGCTTTGAAAAAGTTGGGGGAAGAAAGGAACCAGACACCCAATACCACCCTCAGATAGGGCATGGCTTCTGAACATGCACCAACTGCCACAGCACTGCATGAGTTGAAAAATGAAGAGGACATCATTTTTTCATTAATGCTTTCAAGGAATTTCTTTTAGAAGGGAAGGAAAAAGAAATTCAAAAAAGGTGGCTCTTTGGGAAAAAAAAAAAATGAAAGTTGTGAAATGTAATACCAGAAAGGTTTTGCTTACCAGAAACCGTAGCTTGATTCCCCCTGCCTTGAGTTTACAACTGCCGCCTCCTTTCCTAAAGATTCACTTCTTATCCTAGTACCAATGTACAGGAACTAAGCAAGTGCAGAACGTGATACAGCACTGAATACAGTTTATCCCCAAACTGAGAGGTGGGAATGAGGGCGATTTAGAAGAAAGTCCTAGAAGTATCCACCTTCCCCCGATTCTCATTACACAAAGCGACCAAATGCAGGAGGCCCAAAGACAGGTTCCTGAGCAGAAATGGCACATTTCAGTGTCATCAGGCCCGTTTATCTCGAAGGTACTCTCGCAAGCCCTTGTGTCTTTCCCATCTCCCTCTACACACATATATACATACACACACGCTCACACACATCCTCAAAGCTTCCCAGTCTTGGGTTTGCCTGTTTTTTCACCCCTGGCAGCTGAAGTGGGGAAAAATTACAAGCAGTTGTGATGAGTGAAAGTGAAAATAAAAACTGGTTCTATAAAAACTAGAACTACCCAAGGAGATGGACAGCCTTAATACTTAATTCCTATAAGCTCTCATCCCTTTAAGGTATTTTATATAATGAAAATTAGGAAAATGTCTTCTCCCTAGCAGCCACGAGCACAGGGAGTGCAAAGGCATCTGCTCAGGGGTGGAGCTTCAAGAGGGTGGAGAAAAGAGGAAGAAAGCTGATTACATCACCTTTCAAGGCTGCTCCTCCCCCTTGACCAAGTTTCTAGGGCGGCCCTAAGCTCAGGATGGCAAAAGGGGAAGAAAAACAACAAAGACGGAGGGACGCCATTTTGTAATGGAGAAAGAGGACTCGAACTTTAAAAAGCCACCCAGCTCTGCCGGTAGCTTCAGTTACATTATAAAAACACCTTTTTAGTAAAAAAGCCAAAAGCCAGTTCCCCATCGTGAATAATCTTTGACCTATTTTGATCAGTAAGAGCGTAGTGAAAATTAAAGCAATCAAAATATTAGAACAATTTTCTGCAGGGAAGAACTGAATTTGCAACGGAGGTTCAACCGGCTACCATCGACCACCCCCATCCTCCCTATAGAGGGAAAGGGGGAGGAAGGACTTGGACCCCTCTCAACAAATAGGGTTGAGGTGGGAGGACAGGAAAAAAAAAATGGGTCAAGACACAACCTGCAACGCCGCTTGGAAGACAAAAGGACAAGGAAAGTCGCCATATTGAAGCAGGGAAGAAAAAAATTCCTTTTAACGACACAAATCTTTTAGAAAGCTAGCATTCAATTGCACTAAATGGCTTTTAAAATTATACTCCTAAATTCCACATTACCCAACCTTTCCACCCTCTATTTAACTGTACCTCCCCCACCAAAAAATATCAAGTTAAAATGTTAATCACTCTTTTGCTTTTAAATACCTATGCAATCTGCAACAATTATAAGACATTCTTTACCTCCCCAACTATTGTATGTACTGGCACTAAGATTATATTTTGTCCTAAGTGTCTTGCAATCTTTATTCCTAGATTGCCACCTATTTTAACCACACAAATATACCCCAAACAAATTACATTAAAATTGAGAGGATTTAACAGTCATTTAAAAAGTTATAGCGAGCTATTATTTCTCTCTGCCCATCTCCTTACCCTGCAATCTTTATGTACAGATTGCTTATTAATCTGGCAAATTGAAAGGCACCCTGCTTGTCTCACACACAAAGAAGTGGTACTTCTGGGCCACAAGATCCACCATCTCTTGTATGTGAGCTCATTAACCCTTTCGAAGACTGCTGCTAACCAGAGGAAGGTAACCATTCCTCCTTATATAAACACGTATGGCTTTGGCAGTCTGGAAATTGGCTGGATTACCAAGGGTTAACCATCAAAATCCTCACTTGCTGGCCCTCCCTCCACCCTCTCTTTGCCTGCAGCAGGGCAGGGAAGAGATAGGTGGTAGGGGAGAGAGAACAAGACTGTTTAGACCCACAGGCCCTTTTTAATGGAGATTAAGTGACCAGATTGGTCCTTCTCCAGTTCTCTATTTGTTCTATGGTCTCATTTCTTCCTCTCATTATTTTTGGTTTCACAACGGGAAACGTTGACTTCTTGTTGCAAGGCTGGTTTTTGAAAATTCGACACTTACTATCCAATTTTTTTGCGACGTCAGCACCTCGGGCTCAGGGGGGAGGGGGTAAAATTTTGGAGGAAAAAAAATAAAACAACCAACCAGGACCCAAAACTCAATTATTTAGGGGGCCTCATTGGATCAAAAAGTCTTTTAAAAAATAAAGGCCAACTCAGTATTCATTTCCCCCCCCACCCAACTCCATTTAGGGAGGGGGGTCGCAGAAAAAAGTTCTGAGTGGATTCAAAAAAGTAAACGCTGGATGAGTGAATTTGGGTGGTTTGGGAAGGGAGGGTGGTTGATTATTTTTCAAGTTATGTGGTGACGGTCCTTCGGCCACAGATTTCAAGTCCCAAGCAGCGTGGGCTGGTGGGGTGGGCAAGATAGGTGGGAAGGGGCAGAAGACACAAGTGGTTGGGCTGGTGGCTGCTGTTTTCCCTTTCCCCCCTCTCTCAGGATCCTTTCAAGGGCTTAGATGTTGCTGCGGCTTGTTTCTGTTTTCCTCGTGGTCGGCCTGTCTTTCTCCGAGAAAATTCAAACCTGGGATAAAAGGAACACAAGGGAGAAAGATGTAATCAGTACGGGTTGCTTCAAAACACCCAGAAATGCCATCTTTGCTGTCCCCAAACAAACCTCTGTGTCCCATCCTGATCGCAGCCGCTTTAAGCCGTGACTCTCAAATGAACCCATCCCTACCCCGCTTCCCAGATCCAACGCGCTCCACAAAATTTTACCCACTAAACAACAAGGTAGGTAAACTTACCTCTAAACGAACCCCAGAATGGCGGCCGCCCGCTCGGGTGGAGTCTTTTATACCCGGACGCCGCCCAACGCGCCCAAACGTGCTAGTGAAACGCCCTTGTCGCGAGACATTATACGCGAGGCGTGAACTCATTGGTCAACCTAAACGACAATTCACCAGCTGATTGGCTAGTCTCACTTCACCTTTGCTCCGCCCCTTCCCCGGCACTCTCTTCCGCCTCCTTTCTGCCTCCCTGTTGCGTGCGCGTGACCAGAGAGCCCAGCACCTCCCTTTCCTCTGCTTCCGCCACTTCCGCCCTGGAGAACATTTCTCACCCAGGGTTGGTAGAAACGTGCCGGAGCATGCGCACTGAGAGGATCTCGATAAAAATCGCCTTCAAAATTGCTTAAAAGGCAAACTCTAACAAAGAGATCTAAGAGTCGTAGTGACTGGCCAAGAAAAAATGCAATTTTGAGGTCTAATTCGATTGTGACGCAGTTGAAATTAGCTTCTCCGCCCATCCCTTCCCTTTCACGCTTCCGTCCTGACGCAAACGTGCGGCCGCCTTCCGCACTGCGGGCTTGTCCTTGGCCCTGCCCTAGTCAGTTTCCTGAAGCATGCGCAGTTGCCTTTCCTTACATTCCTGTGCTGGGCGTACGTTAAGATGGCGGCGTCCGTATTAAACACCCTGCTGAGGCGGCTTCCTATGCTTTCTCTCTTCCGAGGTGCCCACAGAGTTCAGGTAACTTCTCGAAGGACATTTTGCACAACCCCAAGTTGGTTATACCTTCTCTAGGTCGTCGCTCCGCTGTCAGGAATCCACGAGTGGAGACCTTCCCACGTGTTTATATCTTAGCTGTCTAGGCAGTACTTCCAGCAATCCCCTCCCATACACCGCGCGTTTTCTAATCCCGAGCCGAGGACTAAGCCCCAGGGTTAGGTGTCATCCTTCTTCCAAAATGCCATCTCAGTAAAATAATTAAGTGATAGAATTGACCCCCGTCCACCCTCAGTTATGCATAACCAGCTTTTTGAAAATTATTTAAATAATTAAGGGGCCATGCTAATGTTGTATCGTTGCAATTTTAGCGTAACATATGTGCTCCCCAAGCGAGCGCCACAACCAGCTCTTAACTGTGCAGGTCGTGTCTAAATCTGTGTTGCTCAGGAATGTCCTTAGGGAAATTAGGGATCCTAATTTCTACCCACCTTGCTATTTCCCAGTAAGGTCAGGATATATTCTTACGACCTGAGGACAGTTTCTCAGCTCTCTTTATTAAATCAGTTTCTTATCAGAGTTATGAGAGCTTAACTCCGTCCTTTGAATTGAGGTTTCCCTCCAGTCTTGTGTACTCACCTCTCTGGAGGTTCTTGGTGGGGCACGGTGAGATAGAAAGGCTTGCCCAGCTGCCACTCCCTAAAGTGGGACTGAAGAGTGGTGACAGAGGTCAACACAGACTTAATAACAGCCTTGATAGCTTTAAAACTAGCGTTAGGACTCAAGTTTGTTCTGCCCTGTAGATTGTTGACCTTCAGCTTTTATGAAAATGGGCAACTCAGTGACTTCATTGGATTGATTTGGAGACTCACTTGTCTTCAGCATCCCCTCCCCACCACACATCTTGGTTCCGAGAACCTAGATATCCTTCCTCTTTATTCTTCCACCAGAATCAATTCATTTCCAAAAAGCAGGACTACCTTTTATGTACTAGATTTTTTTTTTCTTTTTTCTTTAGATGGAGTCTCACTCTGTTGCCAGGCTGGAGTGCAGTGGTGCGATCTTGGCTCACTGCAACCTCCACCTCCTGGGTTCAAGCGATTCTCCTGCCTCAGCCTCCCGAGTAGCTGGGACTACAGGCACATGCCACCACGCCCAGCTAATTTTTTGTATTTTTGGTAGAGATGAGGTTTCACCATGTTGGCCAGGATGATCTCGATCTCTTGACCTCATGATCCGCCCGCCTCAGCCTCCCAAAGTGCTGGGATTACAGACGTGAGCCACTGCGCTGGGCCTTGTACTAGACTTTTTAATTGTCTTCTGAAATAAGATTGTTTTTCAGCATATATCTGCTAACTTAGCTTTTCTTTCAGGATCCAGTTGTAGAAAAGGAGCGTGGTTGTTGATTTATGTCAGTTTAAACCCAACAAAAATACTTAACTTACATATGTATTCCTGTTATATTCCATTAATGCAATATGTATGCATTCCCCCTCTTTCCAAAATGTGATAAGCAAACCATTGAGTTCTTTCCTTGAACTCATTCTTTTATTTTTTTCTGCTCCTTTATAGGTTCCCCTCCAGACTCTTTGCACCAAACCTCCCTCTGAGGAAGATTCTTTGTCCCCAGTTCCCATTTCTCCTTATAAGGATGAACCCTGGAAATATCTGGAATCAGAAGGTACCTCTAAATGGGGAAAGGGAGGGTCAGATAGGATTTAAGATAAGTGGATAGAGCCACCCACTACACTCCCACCCAGGAATAACTTGTATGATCTTTCATTTCAGAATACCAGGAGCGATATGGTTCTCGCCCTGTCTGGGCTGACTACCGCCGCAACCACAAGGGTGGTGTACCCCCACAGCGGACTCGGAAAACATGTATTGTGAGTTTCTGAGAGTGGGATGTGGAGTAGGGGTAGAGGCCACAAGTAACAGTAACAGCAGCACTTTTTCTGACGGGTTTGAACATCCTTAACTGCTGGTTTTTTTCTCTCTACAGCGTGGGAATAAAGTTGCTGGGAATCCCTGCCCCATCTGCCGAGATCACAAGTTGCATGTTGACTTTAGGGTAAGGAGAGTCTTTTCTTTTTATGGTAAGAAAAATAAAGATTAGGAGCCCCTTTGCAGTGCCAAAGAGATTACTGTAGGTGCCCCACACTTCGTATATCCTGGAGGCCCTACAGTTTATTTTGTAGTAACTGTTTCTGGCATTATAAAAACATTTCTCTCTCCAGTGTTTTACCTTCTACTATGGATTGTACTGCAAGTTTTATCCTATGCCTATGAAATTTACAGTCTAAACTGGCAGGTAAGAGAAATGGCTATTTCTTTTGAGACTGAGTCTCACTCTGTTGCCAAGGCTGGAGTGCACTGGCGCGATCTCAGCTCACTGCAACCTCCGCCTTCCGGGTTCAAGCGATTCTCCCACCTCAGCCTCCCAAGTAGCTGTAACTACAGGCGTGTGCCACCATGCCTGGCTACTTTTTGTATTTTTAGTAGAAACAGGGTTTCACCATATTGGCCAGGCTGGTCTCAAACTCCTGACCTCATGACCCGCCCGCCTCGGCCTCTCAAAATGCTGGGATTAGAGGTGTGAGCCACCATGCCCAGCCAGCGAAATGGCTGTTTCTAGTGGGAGAGCAATATCCAAAGATTCGTTTGTATTCTTTACAGTTATTACAAAGTATATTGGCCCATTTTCTTCCTGAGGTTTTTTTATATTTCCTTGTCAATGTTCAGTGGCATGCTGGGACGTGAGGCCGGAGGGCAAGATAGAGTCTAGTATTTTTCAGAAAGCCTTCAATATGTGAGAAGGACAGGGTTTGCTCCTTTAAAGAATTTGGAAACATATTGGCTGGGCATGGTGGCTCATGCCTGTAATCCTAGCACTTTGGGAAGCCGAGGAGAGTGGTTCACCTGAGGTCAGGAGTTCGAGACCAGCCTGGCCAACATGGCAAAACCCTGCCTCTACTAAGAATACAAAAATTAGCCAGGCATAATGGCAGGCGCCTATAATCCCAGCTACTTGGGAGGCTGAGGCAGGAGAATTGCTTGAACCCGAGAGGTGGAGGTTGCAGTGAGCTGAGATTGCACCACTGCACTCCAGCCTGGGCAAAAGAGCGAAACTCCTCAAAAAAACAAAAACAAAAACAAAAAAAAACAAGAATTTGAAAACATTACATTAATAAAATAGGTAATAGGAAAGTGTTCTGAGCTTGCAGCAAAAGTATTAGAGCAGAAGCTGTATGGCTGGTCATCGGGGAAGCAGTAGAGCATTTGGATAGCAGTCAGAAAATGGGGGTATTTGACTGCAATAAGAACCCTTCTGACACAGGTTATTCAGGAGTCCCATAGATAATGCCCCAGTTTTGACTGCATATGATTAGTTATAAAAAGAGATTATGGCCAGGTGCGGTGGCTTATGCTTGTAATCCCTTGGGAGGCCAAGGTGGGTGGATCACTTGAGGTCAGGAGTTCGAGACCAGCCTGGCCAACATGGTGAAACCCCATCTCTACTAAAGATACAAAAAAAACTAGCCAGACGTGGTGGTGGGTGCCTGTAGTACCAGCTTCTTGGGAGGCTGAGGCAGGAGAATCACTGGAACCTGGGAGATGGAGGTTGCAGTGAACCAAGATTGTGCCATTGCACTCCAGCCTGAGCAACAGAGCAAGACTCTATCTCAAAAACAAAACAAAACAGAGATTATAGTTAATTATATAACTGAGAGAGAGAAATGTTACAAATTTAGTAGCACAGGTGATTCCGCTTGCATTCTACTCCACAGTGTATCTGCTTTTTTCTCAAGAGTCTCATTTCCTACAGTTAATTTGCTGAGTGAAGGTTGTTCTATGTAAACTGTAAAATTATTCTTACTATATAAATTATATTCAGTATGCTATTAAATACATTAGTTGTTTATACATACACATTACAATATCATTTTTTGGGTGATTTCTGGGATTTCCAATGACCAGTCCCAGTTTTTCACCTAAAGGCTGACTTTAGAACTTAACTTCTGCAGGCTGGGCATGGTGGCTCACGCCTGTAATCGCAGCACTTTGGGAGGCCAAGGTGGGTGTATCACCAGGTCAGGAGTTCAAGGCCAGCTTGGCCAAGATGGTGAAACCCCGTCTCTACTAAAAATACAAAATAATTAGCCAGGTGTGGTGGCGGGCACCTGTAACCGCAGCTACTCGGGAGGAGTAGCAGAGAATTACCTGAACCCGGGAGGCGGAAGTTGTAGTGAGCTGAGATCACGCCACTGCATTCCAGCCGGGGCGACACAGGGAGACTCCGTATCAAAGAAAAGAAAAAAGAACTTAACCTGTGCATAAGAGATTTCTTTGGGAGCACAGTGACAGAATATGGGATGTGCAAGGATGGATTCAGTGAATTGATGAAGCCCAACTGGGA